TTTTTTGGTTTTTCTCCGGTACCGGGAACCGAACTCACGACCTTGCACTTGCCAGGCAGGCGCTTTGCCGCTGAGCTAAATCCCCAGCCCCAGCTTAGCTGTTTTTGATGGAAATATTTCATTTTGAAATACATTTTACATTTGATGCTCACCCTAAAGAACAGGAGACAGAACAACTTTTACTGATGGCTCTGGCTCGCCACCATAAACCCTGATTATTGAATGGGCTGTAACAGCGCAGCGCACGAGAGCTGTTGGTGTGCAAGGGGGCTGCCTGCTGCTATCGCTGGGCAATGGAATTTGTTCTCTGTTTAAATACGGAAGCTGTCCTGCTTTGCGTGAGATGAGACAGGTGTTATGTGGATGCAAAAGCGAAGTGCTAGAGGCTCTGCCTCAGATCTAGTGGCAGAGGAGATGCACGGGTGGCCACTCCCTACAGCCAGGAAGCACAAGGTTGGCCATCCAGGGAAGGCTCTGCGTGGCAGAGCTGGATCTGGGCCGTGCTTACAAGGACCTGGAGTTCAGGAATGTGGGCAAGAGTCCATGTGTCCTGCTCATGGGGTTCTCCCTTCATCCAATGCTCTTCCAAGCGGTGTGCAAGCCCATTGATGGAACTAAGTAAAAACAACCTATTAGCTGTCCTCAGGGTCCAGGGCTGGCTTTATGACTCTCACCTGACTCAGCTTACTCACTGCTCTGTTGATGTTTCTTATTCATTTCTTTTTTTGTTGTTGTTGTTGTTGTTTTTTGGTTTTTCTCCGGTACCGAGAACCGAACTCACGACCTTGCGCTTGCCAGGCAAGCGCTTTTGCCGCTCAGCTAAATCCCCAGCCCCTTTTCTTACTCATTTCCATTCCAGTCCTGACTCAGGGTACAAATTTCCAAATAGCAAAAGTGACCACTACTTATGAAACACAGGTTTTGGAATATATAATTTTAATGAGAATGCCATCATGGCTTCCAATGGTTCCTAAGTTGTGGATATTGCCCCCAAAATGAGTTAATCAGAGCCTTTTCCTTTGAATTTCTAAAGTTCAAAGTAAAATCCCTTCTTCAACAGAGGCACGGGAATAGCTGGGTGTCCACATGCAGAAGAAGGAGCTGGACCCTGACCTGCTGTATACACAGTGAATCTTGAGTAGGATTCATGAAGTACTGAGGGCCTGCTTTCAAAAGAGAGGTCTACAATGGATGCCTATCTCTTTGGAAGAGAATGAAGCTCTCTCTTGTACTGGTGACAGAAACTGCAGAATTTAGACGCAAATACAACATAACACACTTTGTGTAGAGTTTTCCCAAACAGGATCGCCCCTGAGACAACCCACACGAGTATCATGGCGCTCATCACAGAATGGCTGCTTCTCTTGTGTTCCCCTCTGACTCAAGGATAAAGGAGAGCCCCAGTTACAGGGCTAGATGTGGCTTTTGTACTATTCTAACAAAATGACCAGAGTGACCCAATTATGTCATGGTCAGATGGAATACGAACATGGGCCAAACATCTCACGGGGCCTGAATTTTTGTCTGCTGATGTCACCCTGTCACTAGATGATTCGACCTGGACAGGGCACGTTTTCATAGCTGTGGGAAATACTGATAGGAGCATTATGTTTAATGTTCTGTCCTCTGGGGAGTATAGGGAGAATGTTGGAAAGAGAACAGCAGCTAGACTGCTAGGGGGCCATTTGTGAAGACCATGCATCTAACTGCACTGGAATTTCAGTCCTGGGAGCCATGTTCAGACAGGAAGGTGTCGAAGTTGGCAAGAGGAGCTGGCTTAGTTTTGGGATGAGTCCTGGTTTTGTTTTTGACCTTTTCTGATTTTACCTTCCATGACTGTACCTACCCTGTAATCCAAGCAAAATAAGAGAGGCCCAGTGGTGTCGTGGTTGCATGCGGGTAGTGCCCTCTAAGGTCCATGGGTGTCAAAAGCCTAGTGCCCTGGATTGAACTCTTGGGAGGTGCTGAGGATCTTTAATAGTGGGCCCCCTTGGGTCACTGTGGCTGTGCCTTTCAGGGGGCAGTGGGAGCCTTGTCATCCTCTTTTTCTGGTTCTTGGCTCATGAGCCGAGTAGTCACTCTACCTTCGGAAGCAGAGCCTCAAAGCAATGGCGATCCTGAACTTGGTTTGAAACCTCCAGAACTCTGAGCCAAAACAACCCTTTCCTTTTATAAGCAAGTTAGCTTGGGCACTTAGTGTTAGTGACACAGAGCTGCCTGATAGGATGGGTCACAGGGACAGGGATAGGATTTTCATCCTCTGAGCCTGCTGTCCACTCTCGCTGGACAGCCTGTGTGGTGACATGATTATCCAGAATTGGATTTTCTGGGTTGTTTAGACCACAGTTTCTTCTTTTCTTTCATTGCCTGGTTTTGGCCACTGCCTTCTAGTCTTCAGCAGAGGAGACCGAAAGCCGTTGAAATTCAGACAATGTAGATACAGATTCATATGCTGTTTCTGGAGATAGCTAAAATCCATGAATTGATGAATAAAGACGCCAGAGACATGGTTTTTTAAAACAGAAAAAAAAAAAAAGAACCTCAAAGCAGCACAAGTGTTCAAGAAGAGCAAGGACATGTTAAGTAAATTTTGGGCCAGGTGTGGTGGCACATGCCTGTAATCCCAGCACTTGGGAGGCTGAGGCAGGAGGATTGTTGTGAGTTTGAGACCAGCCTGGGCTACAAAGTGAGCTCAAGGTCAGCCTGACTGCATAGCGAGACCCTGTCTCAAAAGGACCTAAATAAATAAATAAATAAATAGATAAAATTTGGAAGATGCATAGGCTGGACATTAGGCCGGCTTTGTAAATAAAGACTTTAAGAAAAAATTTTTTGATACAGTAATAAAAAGCAACAAACAAAATGTCCGTCTGCTATAATCTCAGCTATCTAAAACAACCTAGAGAGAGACCAACATGCTGAAATGTTGCCAATAATTATCTGTGGATTAGTTTGTGGATAGTTTTTGTCATCCTCTAGAACTGGCTCCAACAGGCAGCCATCAACCTCATGTGGCTATACAAACTTAAAGTCATTAAAATTAAATAAAATTTAAGCATTTGGTTCTTGATTTGCAGCAGCCACGTATTGTGTACTTGTGAGTCACAAGTGGCTGGTGGCTCCCATGTCAGCCAGCGCAGGTCAGTGCCTTCCCATCAAGATAGAAAGTCCCACTGTGCAGGTGTAGTTCTAGAGCATTCTGTCATTTTCTACAAAGCACATGAGTTTTTACCATCAGAGAAAGAAGAACGAAAAGTAAAGGTTCAGCTTAGCCAGCTGTAGGAAGACCTCCAAGAGATTTCTTTAGCATTGGCTGAAGAGCGTCAAGGTGACATATATTTTAAGGAAGTGGCGATCCAGCCCTGAGAGAGTTTAAACACTATCGTTAGTGATACTGCTGTTGGGGTGAGACCAGGCAGGATGCACTAACAGGAGGGAGGGTGTCCATGGGTGAGCCAGGAACAGCAGCTCGCATGCCAGGGCCGGCCAGTATGCTAGCATGTTGGATAGAGGAGGGGTTCCCTGTACCCTCTGGGTAGTGTGGCAGAAGCCCTGAGCATGCAGCTCTTGGAGTCACTCAACAGTGATGATGGGTCCTATACACACCAGTGGTGGGGCATGCTATACTGGTAGTTAAGATGCCCAAAAGCTCTGTGAGGTGCGGCTGGGGCTGTGCTTGGCTCTGACACTCACTGACCACAGATGTTCTAGCCTAACCAGCCCCCTCCCTAGCAGCCTCGGGGTCTGGGGAACTTTTCTGGACAGGAGACATCTTACACAAGCCCCTGTGGTTTGCCACTAGAGAGGAAGCACATCTCCCATGACATAGGAGTGAAGCAATTGCAAGCCTGCTCCTGACCTCTCTGGGCTTCTGTTGCATTTCCTTTTCATGCTGCTTTTAATGCATATGCTGTGCTATAATAAACCTCAACCATAAATGTCACCTACTGCTCGTTCCTGCGACCATCTTGTAAATCATCAAAATTGAAGATAGTCATGGGATCTCCAAAATACCTCCCATGTAAGAATTTTCTCCAGGAATATAGAGAACAAATTGCTCCCAAATAAGTATGCCTTCTGCCTGGTACTTAGATATCTTACTAGTCTCAACTGATATTCTTACCTACATATCAAACTCTTGTTAAGTCTGGCTGATGTGAGTCATCTCAGAAGAGCCTGTTGACAATAGTCTCTCCCTTCAGGTTGCAGAACTTAGTAGAGTTATTGGGAATCCTGTGATCACCCATGAGATGACCCTTTCAGTGCCCAAACTGGAGGACATCTTTTCAGCTTCTCTCTCCTATGCATCACTTAACTTGCAATAAGTTGAAGTGAGCACAAAGATACCAAAGTCAGAGCTAGCAAATTCTGACCCAGGGGCCAAATCAGCCCACAAAATGATTTTGCACAGCTCATGATTAGAATAGTTCGAATATTTTTAAATGGCTGAAAAAGAATCAAAAGAAGCGAAGTATATCATGCAATGGGAAAATTATAAAAAATTCAAATGTCAGTTTCTAGAAATAAAGCTGTATCAAAGCAGCCACACTTCCTATTCTGAGCTGTGACAGAGGCCATCTGGTCCCCAAACCCTAAAATATTTACTTTTTGGCCCTTGACACAAGACATCTGCCCAGCCCTGCCCTGGGATTCTGAAGTCCCCACGAGTCTGACTTTGGAAAGGCTTTGGCAGAAGAACGTGTTTTCCCCTCTATGCTGCTATTTCCACAGTCCTTTGTCCTGAGACCAAGTCCCAGTGGCCAAGGCCACTAAGAATAGTTCATGTGGCTCTGGATTTAAGGCACGCTCTGGTGAAGTCACTTACATAGGATCCGTAGTCCACAGCCAGTGTCTGCAGCGCCCAGGGGAGACCCAGCCCGATCAGGATGTCAAACACATTGCTGCCAATGGAGTTGGACACGGCCATGTCCCCCATCCCTGTGAGGACAAGAGGCAGCTCTAGCGAGGGAGTGCATGAAGGCAGGGCACTGTGGGGGTCCCCAAGCTGTGGACATCACCGAGTCACACATCGACCTTGACTCTCAAACCCTGAACCCACATTCTCTGGAGCTGTGACTCCTCCCTCTAAGCACCATTCCGATTCACCCTGGGGTCTCAGGAGACCAAAAATGGTTCCAAAACTCCTGGCAGCTTGGAGTCATCCTTCTAGAAAGCATCCAGGAAGTGGCCCACCAACTCGCTGACTGAAACATTGGACCCCCACCTCTAGATTGTTTCATGCTGTGTTTATTTCTTTCAGATAATCAGTACCAGGAAGACAACTCAACGGAAGAGTTTCAGAAGGAGTTCTAGAGAGTTCTGTGAGGTTCTGTAGCTGTGCAGTGTTTGTTTAAAATAAATCCCTCTGGGGCACGAAGAGAGGGAAGGAAGGGGACATAAACAGAATGAAGATGTGCTACATGCACGCACCAGCTCCCCTGAAGAAGCGGGTCACGAGGTACTGCAAATGTGCATCAGTAACCATATAAAAAATGCCTCCCAGCATCAGTTAGACCTGATGGGAGGGACAGCGGCACCAGAAGGGTAAGGCCGCCTTGGTGCCTGAGTCTCTGGCAGCAGACTGAGCCTGGCTGGAAGCAGGGTGTTTGTCCTGTGTTGAAAATGGACCACCAGGAATTGTCACTCTGAGGGGCATGACAGCCTTAGGCATTGGGTCTGACCTCTTTAAGTCTCAGTTTCCTCATCTGTCAAATGAAAGAATAGTTGCCTCTATCTCATGGAGTTGTTTATAGTAATAAGATGACGCACCTAAAGTGTCTTGCTTAGTAAAGGTTGGAGACTGGTTTGTTAGTATTTTTAATAGGAAGAGGGTGCACCTGGGGGCACTGCTCAGGAAAACATCCCTGCCTTCTGTTCGGGCAGAGCGTTCTGCTCCTTTCCCTGCTCTTCTGACTTCAGGATGCCCATGACTGTCTCGGCACTGAGGTCACAGGTCTCATGTCCCTCCTTCCCAGTGTGATCTATTGTCCCATTAATTGAGGGACCCCCGGACAGGATGACCCCCTCCCAGCAAGCCTGCCCTGCTGTCCCCGGCAGCCCCACCTTGTCTGGCCACGATGAGGCTGGCCATGCAGTCAGGCACGCTGGTTCCAGCGGCTAGAAAAGTGATGCCCATGATGACATCTGGGATCCCCAGCGTGTAGCCAATGATCGTGACCTGAAAGAAGCAAGAAGAAGCAGTGACCAAGGGCTCTGGGAACCTCCACCTGCCCAGGTGTCCCACGGCCAACGTTCAGGAAAGGTTCCAGCCTGTGCCACCTCTCTGGGGACAATGTCTGCTGTCTGTCAATATAGAGGCAAGGGACACAGTGATGATTTTACAGTGATGGAATCCGGCAATTCCAGTGGACCGCAGCCTTCTGGCTCCTCATGAGCGAGACACGCACCTTGAGGGAGAGGTAGAACTGGGGAGAGACAATACTGGAGCAGAATATCCAAACATATGATGGCTTAGTACTTAGGTACTGGGTGAAGTGATGTTCATTGGTTTTAGTTCATTTAACTCTCATGATATTTAATTATACCAAACAAATGTTATTGTATTTCCACTCTTTAGAGGGGAAACTGAGGTGCAGCGAGGCCTGTGCCCAAGCCGCAAGCTGCTGGGAGTGACAAAGGTGTGGGACTGAGCAATGCCCAAGGTGTGGCTAGCCTGATGGGTCAGCTACGCTGTCGCTGTTACAACGGCATTTGTGGTTGAGCTGGAATTTGGGGACCAGTCACCCGGAAGCTGGATTTGGGCTTTTTCCTTCTGTGTGTTTTTTCCCCCACTATCAGCCATTTCTCAGGACTCAGCAGAGCTCCCCAGGGGCAAGGAGGCTTTCAGGGATGAAGCCAGCTCAGTTTTCTGGTCAAAGCAAAACCATGGAAGACTCTGAGGTCCTCATCCCAAACACAGGTCAGAGACAGCGATCAGTGGCTGCGTCAGATAAGATGGTCATGAACTCAGGACAAGGGAGAAACTGCTGGCTGTAAGATTTCAGTTAAAAAAAAATCGGTTTGGCTGTGGTGTCAAAGCAAGGGATAAGTATGAACTTGTTTTAGGTTTATACATTTGCTATTGCAGTACCTCCAACAAAACCTATTCAGAGCCAGTGTTAGCTCCCGAGTATTTCTCCTGAATTTAAATTATATTTCTGTCCAATACTCAAGAAAGGCTAATTCAGATTCGCATAATTTCATTATGACTTTTAATTTCTGCCCAACTCCAAGTCCAACAAATCAGGCTTGCTCCCCCGTTACAAAGCGTGGTCGTAAGTGATCAGTACACGGTTCATGCCTGGGTTTCTTAAAATGACCTTGGGTGGAGGTTTTTGAGCCATGTCCCCCTAACACATACTAGTCACCAAAGTGTTAATTCAGCCTCAGAAGGGATCCTGACATGATCAGTTGCCCAACTGTATGGCCTCTTGGTTGAAGAAACTTACTTGGAAAGATGGGGTGCTATGCTTTAGATATAAAACTTTCTCTCATTCTTTTGTTTGGGGTGGAGCTCTGGAAAGTAATTGTGTGATGAGGGCTCTAAACTCATTGGTGGATTAAGCCATTGGTGAGATCATAATTGATGGCATTATTAGGAGGTAATGGAAATATGAGATGAGGTATTGCTGAAGGGGAGGGGTCATAGGAGCATGACCTTGGGAATTATATCTGGCCCACACTCCTTCCTCTCTGGTTCTTTTTGTTTCCTGGCTACAATGAAGGGAGCAGCTTTCCTCCACCATGGTGATTTTGCTTCAAAGTGAGCTGACTATGGACTGAACTCACTGAAATCATGAACCAGAATACAGTAGAGCTTTCCTTTTGTAAGTTGTTTTCCTCAGGTGGTCAGTCACAGTGACAGATGACTATCACATAGGGGAAGGTGACAGTGGTCATCACCCCCAAGTTCATCATGCCTTGCTCCATGTCCTCAGCCTGTGGCTCTGCTCTGCCTCCACTAGAGTGGTTGGAGTGTGTATCCCATGTCATGGACGCTGGACTTGGCAAATGCAGTGTGTGTGGGAGTAGTGGTCAGGCAAGCCAGCCCCATGTGAAGAACTTGGGGGCATCTAGTGTTCCCAGCTGCCCACCAGGGCAACAGCATTCCAGAGGCAGCCCCTGGTCAAAGCAACGAAACACACGGAGTAGATATGGACTTAGCCAGCTGCCTGAGTCAAATGTAACCCTCTGGTAGCTTGAAGCACAGCTGCATAACTAATCCCAGCTACGATAAATCACCTCACAGTCAACCTGGAGCTGTGTGAGCAGAATGAAAGCTCTGACTCTAAGCCACTGAGTATAGGAGTGATTTGTTACATAGCTTATTGTACCAATAGCTGGCTGATACAGCTACTGGACTGAAGCCCCAGCTCTTATTCCCATCTAGTCCACTGCACTTTTCTCTCCACAGAGATCTAGCAAAGCCACAGAGCCCTCTCCACACTCACCATCCACACCATCATGTAGGAGAAGGCTGCAATCCACAGCGTGGAGGAAGCAAACGTCACCATGAACCATTTCTCCCAGCGGGGCTTGTTGCAGTTGGGGACAGTGAAGTATAACACGAAACTCAGGGGCCAGGTGAATGCCCATTTTACTGTTTCCAGTTTGCCGGCTGGAAAGATGAAAAAAGGTTTAAAAAATCAGCATCGACATTTGTCTGGTGAGACCCTGGACTGCTTCCCCCAGAACTCAGCCTTGTTACCTGGCTCACCTCACCACTGCTCCCACCCATATTGTTCTCCTGAAGACCCCAAAGGACTTCCCAGCACACCCCAAATCCAAGAGAGCCAAAGGGAACCAAGCAGCTATCACTGCCCACCAGTTAGTTAGGTCTCAGAAATAACACGATGACAAGAGGAAGAGATAACAATAATGAATCTATATGCAACAAATACCAGTGCACCCAGCTATATAAGACAAATATTAAGGGATATGAAAAATCAAATAAGCACTAATACAATTGTATTGGGGGATCTCAGTACCCCAAGGTCACAAAAAGACAGATCGACTGTACAAGAAGTCAGTAATGAAATAGAACCGAACCAAACCTTTGAACAAATGGACTTAGTGGATGTCTACAGTGTTCCACCCCACAATATCACAATACACATTCTTCTCAGCTGCACACAGGACATTCATACTAGCTCACAGAACATGCTTAAGTAAATGCAAAGGAATTGAAATTATCCAACGCATATTATCAGACCATAGTGCAGTAAAACTGGAAATCAATGGCAAAAGAAACCACTAGAATTTCATAAACACATGGAAATTAAATAGCACCCTCCTGAACCACCACTGGGTCACAGATGAAATTAAAGAAGAAATTAGACAGTTTCTACAATTAAATGATACTGACAGTGCAACACACTGGAACTTAAGGGACACAGTGAAGGCAGTCCTAAGAGGGAAATTTATAGCAATGATTATCCACATCAGGAAAAGAGCAAGCATAAATAAACTTAACGGCGAACCTCAAACTTCTAGAAAAAGAGCAGGTTTAAGCCAAAAGCTTATAAGAGGAAGGAAATTATAAAGATCAGAGCAGAAATTAATGCATTACAGACTAAGAAAACAATACAAAGAATCAATGAACTAAAGAGTTGGTTCTTTGAAAGATTAAATAAAATCAACAAACCCTGATCCAACCTTATCAAAAAAAGAAATCACAGAATGAGTCACTCTGAGTCGTACGGAGCCAAGGCTGCTCTGGCAGGTGGGAAAGATGAGGAAGAGACTCAGGATACAAAAGGGGTGTGGGTCATGAAGTGCGGCTGGGGAGCTAGGAAGACCACGGGTTTCTTCGCTCTTAAGACTGGTTTGGTAGCAGTTTTTCCAAATTGTGACGCCCGGGCAGGCACATCGCCATCTAGTGGACATTCTGAGTGCTTGCAGCCCATGCTGACAATTTACAAAAAGCAATTCTTTCTGGCTCCCTTCCTGTTTGCGGGGGACAAGAGGGACATGCAGTGACCACCTGCTCCCCCCACCTCTGTGCTGCCACCAGCACTTGTGAACCAGAGCACCTGGAAAGCCTTACGTTGGTGACTGTATTTCACGAGTTCCTTGTGGCCTCAGATTTGACAAATATATCAACTCTCCTTGGCTTTCATGACCACCTTGCTCAAACTCTGGAAATAAACACCTGTGTATTCCCCAGTTTGGTTGAGGTACAGAGCATCTCCATCTCCCAGAAAGTTTTCTGCACCTCTTTCCTACCACCACAGATTCATTGGAAGTCCTCTAACTTCCAATGAATGAAATCATCTAGTATATTTACATGTTTTCCCTCTTTTATTCAGCTTACTTTTTTAGATCCATTCATGTATCAATGATTCATCCTTTTTCATTGCTGTATAGTAGTCCGTATTGATACATTCTCTCAAGGATGGGCTTTCAGGTTGCTGCGGTTTTAGGGCATAACCAGCACCCTTCTAAAGTCTTTTTTGTGGGCCTGGTTTCATTTCTTCTGGGTGAAGACCCAGAGGGAAAACTGCTGAGTGTCTGGGTGGATGTTTACTCCACTTTGTAAGAAACTGAAGTTTTCCAAAATGATTGAAACTGAAGTATATCCAAAATGAATATAAAATGTTCCAAAAACATTTTATATTCCCACCAGAGACAAGGACCTAATTTTTAGCACAATATTTTGAACAGTGATAAGGGAAAGGCTTAGTAAAGTTTATTATATACGAGGAGTTGGACGCAGGGCATTTGCACTGAGCTACTTCCCCAGCCCTTTTCAAAATTTTTAAATTTTGAGACAGGGTCTTGCTAAGTAGTTAAGTTGCCCAGGCTAGATTTGAACTTGAGATTCTCCTGCTCCAGCTTACAGAGTTCTGGGATTACAGATGTGTACCACCAGATTCGGCTTCTTTCATATTTTAAACCAACATCCAGTTCTACTTCAAATACCTCTTAATGGGCTTTGAATAGTTTCTTAAAGCAGCACAGAAATGTCACCTAACATTGCTGGCAGCCAAACTCCCTCCCATGGCCAAGGCAGGGTGGTCTCTGGGAAGAGTGAGGCTTCTACGTAGACAGCAGTGGGGCCCCAGCCTCACCCCAAGGCTGAGGAGTTGAGCTGTTCCCTTTTTAAAACTTGCCAAATCTCAGTTTTCTTATCTGCGAGATGTGGACGCAGTACCACTCTATGGCTGGGAGATTTAAGCTGGGTGACACAGTGATACTAGCGTGAGCACAGAGCCTGCAAGCTGCTCCTGTCCGAATCCTCAGTCATTCTTGATTTTCACCCTTTCTGTTTCCATCACCACAGACAACTCAGGTGACCTGTCCAGTGCACCTCGCAGTCCCCAGGCCTCTCCCAGGGCCAGGCTATTCATGGCTGAGGATCTGGCTTCCTAGAGGAACTCCTGCCCAACCTCTACTTTCAACCAGCAGCGAGGAGGAATCTCAAAAGGAAAACTGTTCTAGAACATTCCAGAAGCTTCCATGGCCCTTGACTCCCTGCCATGGGCCAGACAGAAGTAGAATACGAGCTCTTTGGGAGCAGGAGTCTTCTTGAGCTTGTCCATCATGAGTGGCACTGGGAACCACACTCACATGTGAACGTTAATGATGTCTCTACCAGCACAAGCTGACCAGTCAGATCACAGGAAATCACTTGCTCCTGAGAGCAGGGCCTGAGGGCCTCCCACTAACAAGGAGAGATTATGGCAAACAGAAGATATTGCTGAGAGCAGAGAGGTGTCCTGCTGGCTACTGTGTATCTTGTTAGACTGAAGAGGTGGAGCTGGCTGGGCTGATCCTGAGACCTGGGGGCTGCGTCCAGGAAGGACACCATCGTGGAGCTGTCACATAAGGGTTTCCAGTGCCGTAGGATCCAGAATGTGGCCAGGTCTTTGGATCCTAGAGGCACCTGAGAATTTCGCATGTTCCTAAGCCTGGCAGTGGGGAGTAGAGGTGGGGCCTGTGGAACTCTTGGGGTCTCTTGCTGCCTCCCTTGGGCTTGTACCCTCACAGCCACAGAGACTTGGTTTGGCTGCAGATACACACCCGGCCCAAGGTCCCCAAGAAACATGCTACGAAGAGAATAGCCTCAAGCTACTCTTTAATATTCTCCAGAGGGAGGAAGGTGAAGGCAGAACCTAGGACTGCAAGAGCTTGGGGAACAGCTGCGGCAGGTGTCACGTGAGGCATGCACAGTCCCTCTCAGCTGTCCTCAGATACTCCAGGTTGATCCCACAGGACGTGATGTTGGGAAAACACAGGTTCAGTGTCATCAAAATGACACAGATGCTTGTTCTACTGAGAGGCTGTTTTCCAGTGAAAACCTCCAAGGTAGAAACTTCTTGGGTGCTGTGTGAAATATGTCCTTAAGCGTCAGGAGACAAACACAATCTCTTAAGTAAACCAAGTGACACAGAAACGATCATGGAGCAGGCTCAGTCAATGCATGCTGGTCCACGCTTAGCCGGTCATGCTGTCCATCCCTGGACAAAGGGGCAAAAACTCCCTTCCCCTCTGAGAGAGGGGGCAGCCCTGTTGGACATTGTGCCGACTTCTGTTCTCGTCTCATTTGGTCCGAGCAGAGCCCTGCGGGGATGATTCATTCACTTGCTTAGTGACTCTGCCGCTTTGTGACGGGGCCTGCTCTGGGTGCTGGGGACCCAGCCGTGAATTCAGAAAGCAAAATGCTTTCCCCGTGACTGTGAAACTCCACGAAGCCAGCCAGCAGCAGAAGATGAGGCCTTGTGGGGCGCCCCGGCAGGTGCCAGGGCTTCAAGGAGCAGAAGGGTTTGCTCTAAATTATATTTCTTATTCCACTGGTTAGAAAGCTTAAGTTTTAGAAAGTTTAATGCAATTGAAGACAAGAAAAAATGATTGTGCAGTATTTTACACCTATACATACATATATATATATATATATATATATATATATAGTGACTATATGAAGATAAAAATGTACATGTAAAACAGAAAATACAAAAAAATTCTACCAGGGAAAATCATAACTATATTTTGATGGACTTCCTTCCAGTCTTTTTTATGGTAGTGTGTCTACCTATACCACCTGTGAGTCTGCCAATAGAAAGGCTTTCTTCACTCAAAAGCTACAAATTGGTAAATATTTTCATGTATATATGTATGTAAATACAGCATGCATAGATGCAATAACATATGTATAAAATCTATACATAAATCATATGCATCTTTAAACAGAGGTACATTGATATCTGTGCATGCATTATCTATGCACCAACACATTATTTTACACATATACAATATATCTGAGTATGGTGGTACACATTCTGGGAGACTACGGCAGCAGGAGCCCAAGTCTGAGCCCAGACAGGGCAGCTTAACATCTTAGCAAGACTCTGTCCAAAACAAAAGTAAAACTCCTGGGGCGAGAGCTCAGTGGGAAGCCCCTGGGTTCAATCCCTTAGTCACAAAACATAGTAAATAAATAAAATTAACATACACATACACACTCTATGTCAACATCAGCCTATTGAGCACTGTGGGCTGCACACATCCAGGCACACGACTGCTCCATGCACACTCCTGCTCGCACACCTGTGCGTGCACATGCAGACACAGTGTCACACACATCCGTGTCCACACTCCCACATGCCTATTTGTTCATCACACCTACAGCATTCTGTCCTTAGAGCAGCTGGCGCGTCACGTGGTGATAGAACTTAGCACCGGGGAGCCATCTTGGAGCCCCAGGCTGAATTTCCTGAGGGCGGCACCATGGGTTGGGTGTGCATCAGCCAAGTGCTCACCACGGAGCCACCCACAGCTCTCCTGGTGGTGTCCTAATGCCTCTGCTGGCCTGTGACACGCTCCAGCCTCTGGACGTCCCACAGGGCCCCAGGGGCCCATCAGCCCCCGGCCCCACAGTGAGCTCCAGGCCAAAGCTTTTCAACAGTGGCTGAGAGGAAGAGCGGTCACTCAGGCAAGGTTACCCCTTATTTCGGAGCCAAGCCTGGCTCTGATGTGGGCTGTCCTGCCCCCTAGAAGAACTGTGAAGGTCACTGTGTCACACCAGGGCTCTCCTTTCTTGCTACTCCCAAGTGTGGCCAGGGACTGGCAAAGCCAGCATCCCCTGCAGCTTGTTAGAAATGCAGATTCTGCGGCCCACCTGGCTTTGTGAATCAGGCCCACACTGTATCAGGACACCCCGATGGGAGGCCAGCCAGAAGCCCGTGATGTCCAGGCAGTGGGATCATGTGGGGCAGGATAGCGGTAGCCATATCCCCTAGCCCACGCAGAGCCAGAATGTGTGGCCGAGGGCCTGAGGCCTCTGCCATGCAGCCTTTTCCCAGAGCACGGCAGTGGGTGACGCCTCACACTACGTTCTGGTTAACAAGGGGTCATGTATATGACAGTGGCCCCATGAAGTCACACGGCCTAGTGACATTGTAGCCATCACGTGTAAATACACACCATAATGCCCACGCAATGGCAGAATCACCCAGCCATGCAGAAGGAAACCCATAGTTAGATGACGTGTGACCACACTGGATACCCACAGGGGCCTCGGCATTACTCACCCAGGATGGGAATAAGGAATGAGTGGCGGAAGTGATGGGAAGGGCCCCTTGTTCCTCCTCACACAAGGCCCGGGCATGGGCTGGACCTCTGGTCTCACTCCCGCAGGCTCTTTCTCATCTGCCCTGAGGATGCCCTTAGGGACCTGGGGTTTCCCCAATGCCAACATGGTACGTGGCACTCACAGAATCTTCGGCTGGCATGAGTGTTCCCTTCGTCAGTGCAAGAGTTCAGCAAATTAAGTGTTTTTGGAGCTTGGGTACGGCCAGCCAGTGGTGGGCTCTGAACATAAAGGGGACAAGCACAGTTCCTGACATGGGTTCCCAAGATTCTGCAGCCTAATCCTCAGGACCCTTGAGTGAAACAAGCCTGCAGTCTCATGGCTGTGCCGTGTCCTATGGCACAGTTAGCTTTCAGGGAGGGTCACTGGACAGGAGGCCCAAGCGAATCACAGGAGCCCTCGAAGCCACTAGGAAAGCCAGGGGGACCGGAGGTGTGGGAAAGAGCTGCCCAGAGAAAGCCCTGGCCACAGGGAACTGAACTTCGCCAACAATCTGGACGTAGGCACCTGGGACCGATTCTCCCCAGGCCTCCAGAAAGGAACACAGCCATGTCCACACCTCGACTCTGACTGAGGCTCCGTGAGCCCAGCACACCTCTGAACTAGAGAATGGCAAGCTGGGTGAAGACGGAGGTTTAAACTGCTCAATCTGTGGTAACTGTTATGCACCAAGAGTAAGGGTTTGTAAGAAGGGTTGCAGTTTCATGTCATTTACTCCCTAAGACAATCATGACCCAGCTGGAGTGAAAGAGGCTGCCGAGAAGCACATCCAAATGCAGAAATGGATAAAGAAGTGTATTTCCCCTTATGCCTGACACCATGGCTAGTACTGAGCTTTATATACATGTTTTCCTCATACATTCAGAAAGGGTTAATTTATAAACTAGGCACAGTATGAGATGGACAGCAATACTAGTAATAAAATAGAATGATTATGACACTGTACTGTAATAAAATTGCAGCATCATTACCTTTGCACCCTGGGGTCATTATTAATTAAAACAATAATTCCCTGTTACTGGAACACAGAGCTGTGCTACCATTGCAGTCAGAATGGCCACTGTGTGAGTAGCACATACAGCATGGATATGCTGCACAAAGGGACAGTTCACATCCTGGGGCAGGGGGAAGGAGCAGGATGGTTTGAGATTTCATCACATGACTCAGAATGGTGTTCAATTTCAAACTAAAGAAATTGCTTATTTCCATCATTTTCCAGTTAATATTTTCAGAATGTGGTTGACCTCAGTTGACCTTCAGTAGCTGAAATCACAGGAAGCAAAACCACTGAAGAGGGGACTATTGTGTATTTTTTTCCATCAAGATATCCTACTAACAAACAATCATTTAACCGGCTGGGCAAGTAGGGAATTGGCTGGAGTATGGGAGTCTAGATGGGTTTTTCTTATTCGTTTTGGTAAATATCTGATGAGGATTCTATCTTTGGTTCCTGAGTGGGCTACTGGACATAGAGAGAGGTACTTCCGGAGCGGGAAGCACCTTGCATCTGAAGACAGCATGGGAGTTGGACTCTGCACACCCACATCAGCAGTCCTTCTCTTGACATCCCAGAGAGCTTGCACACATGAGTCACTCACGCACTTGACAGTGCCCTCTTTCCAGAAACAACCAGAAGCTTCTACAAGGGTTGGTAAACAGACAGAATTATTGAGGCCTGGTTCACCATCTTGTTAATGGGTGGACAACATTACTGGAATGCTCAGGTGCAGCAGTCAGAGGAGGAGGATGTGGTGGCCCTGGTAGCTGAGGTCCTGAAGGCTTTTATAGGCTGTCTGCCTTCCCCTCCCAAGGTCTAGGGAGAGTTTCTGGTCAGCCTCACCAGTAGACACATGGGCCAGCTTTTTACTCAAGTCTGTATCACCTGTGGCTCCTGTTCTGTGGACAGTACATCATGGGAGGGCGGACCCCAGCATAGGGGTCAGGGAGAGGAAGTGGGAACCAAGGGAAACAGGCATGAGTCCCCAGGGTGTTCCCCTAACTATTATGCGACAGATGAAGGGAAGCAAAGTCCCCCTGTCCCCAGCAAGGTGCCTAGATGAAAGGGGTCATGGGAATTTCCTCCACAGTGCCAAGAGGGTTTGCAGAATTGATAAGAGAGGACTTTTACTCATAAAATGCACCCAGTCCAAGAGCCCAGATTTCAGCCCATGATTGCAGGCTGCCATCTTGGTTCTATAAACTCCATGTAAATGTGCTTATGTTTGCATAGAGACTCTTCTGCACCAAGTAGCGAGAAGCTCACCCAAGCTAAGGCCATGCACTCAGTGGCCTGGAAACACCTCCCACCCCAGCCTGGATTTAGGACCTCTTACAGGGGGGGTCGAATGGCGTGTACGGTCCTTCGTCATCATCCTCGTCCTCCTCTTCCTCTTCGTCATTTTCATTGTTCTCATTGTCCTCATTTTCATTCTCTGTCTCGTTGCCAGCCTCGGCGACAACATCGTCTCTCCGAGTCCCGTTCACGCCCCTGTCAGGGGCGCTGCTGGGCCCCGTTCCATTCTCTACGGTGTGTTTAATTGGAATCTTGATGGCCACCTCAGATTCCCCATTGGTGTAAGCTCTGCTGTTAATTAGTCTTTGTCTCTGGCGAGAGAAAAGAACATGATCACTATAAGCAGAGGGGTTGTAAGTACCTCACTCGCGGGTGATGGGCTACTGGGATCCACCCCAGGCTGCTGACAAGGAGATGTGTCCAGAAGGTTCTGGAGTCAAGTTGTAAGATTCCCAAAAACGTTTTATAACTCATTGGAACTTGTAGATCCTCTTAGAGGAAATTCCTACCACCCAGATATGTCTGGGCTCCGTGGTGCTATCTTTCTTCTCCAGATTGGACAAATTCCCTTGTTCCCCATGGAGAATGCCACACTCCATGTATGGAGTAGTGCATCAGTGAGGCTGCTGCTCCAGGGGAAGGAAAATCAGGTATGAGACTCTGGGTTACTTTAAACAAGGTAACCTTTAGCTAGCAATGACTTCTGTGCAAGCTCACATCAGGGGGCTTTAATGAAATGCGAAATAAAGGAAATAGGTAGAAGGGGACAGGAGAGTCTCTATACAGCCAGCAGCTGGACTACTGTCTCATATGCGGAGGGAAGAGCCAGGAGCAGGATGCAGAGCTGGCCCAGGGAGGAAAGATGCTGAAGGGCTGAGGGATATTCAGGGGTTACACTGCAGTTAGGAGCTCTCCCCTTCCTGTGGTTCCCCACTCCTGTCCAGAGTGCACTTTGCCTTTCCACATACCTCATTGATCAGCATGCGACTGGCCATGGAGAGCCGGGTCTTGGGGGGGAAGTGGCTTGTGATCATGATCCGCAGGCCAGCCTCAGAGAAAGATAGCTGGTGTGGGTAGGCCGACAGCAGCTCGTCCACCATGATCACTGATGCTTTGCGGTGGAAATTGGCTAGGAGGGTGAAAAAGATAACACTGAAGCCAGGAGGACAAAAGAGAATATCATTCATTCTTTTCCTTTTCTTCTCTTCCTTTCCATGTCACACCTCCTTTTTTCCCTCCCTCCCATCTACCCATCCATCTGCCCACCACCCATCCATCCATCCACCCATCCATCTGCCCACCACCCATCCATCCATCCATCCATCCATCCATCCATCCATCCATCCATCCATCTGCCCACCATCCATTCACCCATCACCCACACATCCATCTATTCATATATCATCCATCCATCCATCCATCCATCCTTCCATTCTTATTTCCTCCTTCTTCTTTCCTTCTCTTCCCCTTTCCCTCCCACTCTTTCTAGGAAACACTGCAGTGAAAAAATTTGGAGAAGAGGCAAAGTCTCCTTTCCATAGCTCATTTCAAATAACCTGAAACAGCTCAAACCTCATTCCTTGACATGGCAGGAATGAATAACATAACAGAATTCCTCTCTGTCCTCAAAGGATTTTTTTCCCTTAGATCTGGGGCACAGGAAAAACCCTAATGATCCTACATATCATTTAAATACCAACAGTATTCATATGAATTGTCCAGTGCTGCAGAACAGACTTGGATGGAGCAGAGGTCATGCTGAGTAGTCACACAGTCCTGAAGCCCAGCCAGGGGTGAGGTGACTGGGAAAGCCAGCCACAGTCTGAGTTGTCACTCCAGAGGCTGTCTTTGGAAGAGGGGTTCGGGGGTCCTGCGTAATGAGTTGCCCCTGAGGCCTGTGCCCACTCTGTGAATGGGCCACTGGTGCCCACAGGCTTGGGGACCTGGCCGCAGCCCCTCCCGGGGTCTGCTCCTGTTTTCTAAGCCACTGTGAAATGACCCCATAAACCCTGACCAATACTCGGTAGCTGACTTTTGTTCCTGTAGAGTGTTCCTTTTGTGGTTACAAAGTAATCCAAAAGAAAATGAACTAAACTAAATGCCCATGGAGAATGGTGCAAAATCACAGTGAAGTCTTTTATTAATTATATATATATGTAATTATTCAGAAGAAGATATAAAATATTTCAGCCTTAAAATCAGGTAATTAGGCAGATAGTCCAAATTTGGAGATATATATGAAGATAGCTTCTATTTTTTCTGCAAAATAACCATGTGGGACACATTTCAAGGGGATTTTTTTTTTGTGTGTGTGTGGTGTTGGGGGTCAAACCCAGAGCTTTGTGCATATGAGGCAAGCTGTCCACCACTAAGCTATGCCCCAGCTCCTCAAAGGGAATTTAAAAAATTAAATGAAAAATAAAACACATTCCAGGCGACGTTAATGATAATTTTCTACATGCCTTTATGTTAGAATATTACATCAGAGAGCACCACATTGTCTCCCTCCGTGTATCAACTACTTCTTAAGAATCTACTGAACATCAAGTTTTCTTTGGAAGGAAAGGCAATTCTCCATCTCCTTTTGCAGCTTGGAACTGAGTTAATGTGCCCTCCAGGTCAGCTGGACCCCCCATCCATCCATACACCCATCCCTCCATCATCCACTCACTCACTCATTTATCCTCCAATCTATCCCATATCCTCCCCACCCTCCATCCATCCATTCCCCTATCTACCCACCTACCCATCCTCTCATCGACCCACTCATCCATCCACTCATCCATCCACCCATCCATCCTTCCATCCATCCACCCACCCACCCAGCCACTCATCTACCTATCTGTCCACTCACTCTTCCACTCTTACTCCCTCCCTCCTGGTTACCTTTCTTAAGTAGCACCACGGTTGCATCACAGTTGCTGCTGTCATCAATCTCAGCATTGTTGGCCAATCCATTGACCATGTTCCCAGCACCTTTTGTCCTCCTTTCGAAGCACTGATGTATGCACGCATTATATCTGAGCAAATCAGTAAGCATAAGGAATCCATCAGCATTCTCCACACCTCCATTTCCTAACCCCACTGAGAGCTCCCTGGAGCTCTTGGTCCACGGACATGGAGTGAGATCCCATTCTTAGAGTTATGATCTTTCCTACTTTGCTATCCCATTTCCTCTCAGAATACACAGCCTATTATTACATTTCCGGATTGCAGGATATGTGGTAAGTGAAAATAAAATCATTCAGAGAAGCCAGCAATGGTGTATTACCTTCTTTGCCAGCTCCTTCTGTGAATGGCAGGACTGCTGGGGCTGAGGTGTCTCACTCAGCATATATATAAGGAAGGACTGTAATAAGCACAGGGACCACTTCCCAAAGCCATGTCTCCTCCTGGGGCCTGCACTGGCTGGCTGTTTATGTCTTTGTCTTTGGTTTCTTGTAGTCCTACATCTCAGCCTGTGACACTCCTACTATTATGCTGTAATTTCAGGTCCAATCTCATCTTGGCTTTATGAAAAAAATTTGGGCTACCATTGTCCAGAATGGGCGAGTGGAAACCTTAGACAATGTTTCTCACATACACCAGCAAACTGGTGTTGGATGGGAGGAGGCTCCAAGTTCCTAGAATGTTTTTGACAGGTAAATGTTCTGGTCACTTTACCTTTCTGTGATTCCTCTAGAAGGAATCCCAGAAAACTCATGGGCAAAGACAGCCAGGCAGGGTCTCGAAGGCACTGTAGGCCAGTACTGCTTTTTCTCCTGCTCAAAGATCTAAAGATTCCATGGAATATGGCCATGGGACAGCCACTGAGGAGTCTTCCCAAGCTGGCCTTCAGGTTTCTGTGGGAATGGCAGCCAGCTACAGCCATTCTGAATCAGCAGCTCAAAGACCACTCAACCTGCATGTCCCCTCCCATCCTTGTCCCATCTGCTGCTACCCTGAGGCCCCCTGGAGTCTCATTCAGTTATGTCCTTGTGCCTGACTCTTCAGCCAGGGCCACTATGGGGTGAGTTGCCTATGGGGACACTGTAGCCGCTTTGGAGACACAGAGGGAATGTCCCTAAGCCTTTTCTTGTACTCCCAGAGCTCCTGCCGGTTCGTGCATGGCAGGAAGAACAAAAAGTAGTTAAAAAGGATGCCAGCCATGGCAAAGGTGAGTGGTCTGAGCCTGGAAGACCATTACAATTCTTGAAATCTGGGCACAGATTTAGGACATCACTACTTCATAGCCTTCATGAAACAATGGACATGGACATCAGGCATCAATAGTACCTACATCACAGAGAGCAGGGCAAAGTCAGTGTGCCATGAGGGCAGGTCTCACCCCCCTTGGGCACAGTCTGACTTTCATGGAAGGAAACACTGGGCTCAAAGGAACAAGGTGCACCACACACCCTGGGGTGCAGTCAACAATTCTAAATCACGTGAAGTCTGCAGGGCAGACAGAAAATTCTATCAAAGAATAAATTGCAGGGAAAACCAGGCACACACACACACACACACACACACACACACACACACACAGGGGAATTTACACATGAAAAGAGATCAAAACATAGTGCAACCAATAATAACGAGTAGAATTTGGATTTTGATTTTTAAAATATTTATGACATTAATGAGACCAAAAGAAAACTGCAAATAAGTATGACATTTATGAGACCAATAGAAATTTGAACATTGGCTGAAAGTTTTATGATATTAAGGAATTATTACTTTTAGGTATAATAATAATTGTGGCTGTGTTAAAAATGAGTTTTTTTTTGAAACACATGCTGAGATTTTTATGGAGAAACTAATACGATGTCTGGGCTTCCAGATTACATTGGGGGGATGGACAGGGTGTGGGTGGAGCAGCTATGGGCTGAGGGTCCTGGGGCTCATCATGTGCACCTGAGGTTTATCACACTAGGTTGGTGACTTCTGCGTCTATTCACCATTCTCCTTAATGACAAAGTCTCCCCAGTTCCTTGGCTCAGCAGGAATGCCTTGCCCACCTATAGGGATAGAAATAGTGCTTCTGCCATCAAGACTAAGATACCATTTCCCCCCCAACAGTACTGACTTGCTGGTGGGGGAGTAATAGGAGGGAAGATATGATCAAAGCATTTTATATGCATATGTGAAGAGTTCATTATGAAACTCATTATTTTATACAATTAAAATGCACTCATAATTATAACTGAATATATTTAACCAAGAAATACCAACTTGCACATGGCATTGCTTTCAAAGTACAACTGCGTGTGGTTTACTTATTGAAGTTTGGCCCACAGAAACATCATACCATACAATGAGGGCACTGTTGAACCAGATATGGGGTCACTAACCTAACCAAGCTGTCACATTCCATCTCTATAAAGAAAGTCCTATCATTAATTTTGCTTTGCAGAAGAGGAGCCGAGAGTGAAAGGGCTGGATAACTTGGCCAAGGTACCCTGGCTGGTAAGAGGCAGGGTGGGGTCTCTGAAGCACCTGACCTTCCCCACTGGACCACACTGCCTCATCAGGGGAGCAAGGCCCCTAAAGGTGACCCAAGAGTGCAAAGCTCAATCTTTGCCAAAGCCGTACAGGTCACACGCTTCCTTAAGGGCTTGATCTAACTGACCATTTCAAAATTGTCTTTGGATCTGCAGCCAGAATGTGTAAAGTGACTTTAAAGCTTTCTACCCAGGAGGCAGCTGATGATTCTAATATATGCTATTTCTTTCTTTCTTTCTTTCTTTCTTTTTACTGCTGTTGCTGTTTTATATTTTTAATTGAATGTTTTAAATTTTGTGCTTGCACCCTGAAGCTACTTTATTGTGAAGCATGCAATTTTATAAATCAGATTTTATAAAACCCAATGATTAAAGCCTCTGATTGCAGAGGGGGACAGCTAAAGAGCAGAGATTTCAATTTAGAACTTAGGGCCCAGATTTATGCAGAAAATTCAGCAAGTGCAGTCGCTGGCGTTTGCGGTTTTATTTGGATCCTGCTGGTTTGAGCAGCTGGTAGGATGGTAGAGCGGAGGCCTCAGCAGAAACGCACCTCTCTAGCTTCCACATGTGGGGGTCTGGAGGAAGAGGAGAGGACGTGCTCACTGTCATCCCAGTGCCCACCTGCCCAGCCAGCCACCCATGGGCTGGACAAAGACGTGGTTAGGAGATGTGGGGTCCAGAAGTGGCAGGCTGGCAAAACCCCTCAACTTTTCTTGTCTTTAGGGCCAATCTGTGTGTACAGACCCCTCATCTGTGAGGACCCCAGATGGGATGTGCTCGAATCAAAATTCACAATCAAAACACAAGGTCAGCGCAGTGCACAGATCAGCAACCAATAGGGCAATTCTTCCAGGGTCACTGGCAGATCCACCTCCTCAAAGGGGTAAAAAGGACTCTTGGATCTTTGAGAATGCCAATTTAGAGCCTCAAAAAATTAAAAAACTGAAGTAAAATCATTAAATGAAAAATACTGAAGGAAGCTGTGCATATTATTTGAGATCTTCCCATGGTGGCATTCTCTTTATAGTTTTGCTATTGGGGGGCAAAGAAGAGGAGTAAGATGCTTGCTCCCATCTTTAAAGCTATTTCCTATGGAGTCTAGAAACTTTGGAAAGGGTTTTGGCCAACCCTGGTTTTCCTGAAAGCTCAGTGATTGATACTTTAAATGAAAGGTGATAATTTCATGGTGTGTGACTTTGCGTTTCTTCATCATTCGCTCGTGGTAACTCCACAACAGAATATATTATGTCTGATTCTAGAAGTGTGATATCTACTAAGAACACCTTGATGTTGGGTATACATTGGCCAGTGGCCAGTTCTGGCAAATGCTGGGTTCCATATTTTCAGCCATTGGACAGTTCTGGCAAATGCTGGGTGTCATATTTTTGTCGATGGGGAGAGATTGGTCAGAACTCACCCTAGAGCCAGTCAAGCCAGCTCACAGGTGATATTTTTCCACTGTCTACCCTGGCTTCTAATAGGTCTCCATCACTGGTGATCAGAACTCACTTTGGTTAGTCCTACCAGTGAGGAAAACTTAGCATGTCAACTCTAGACATATGCCTGTTATGTTCACACTGGCTATTCAGAAAATTCCCTGCTTTCTTACCGCTAGAAAGGTGCTCACTCTAGTGGTTGCATACGCTTGGGAACACAGGGCTGACTCAGGGTCAGAGAAACAGCTCCTGTGGGGGCTGTGGCTCCAGCTCTACATTATTTATAAGCTCCCCATCTCAGTGACACCTGCACATCCCAAGAGGTCCAAAACCTGCTTCCATTTGATTTAGAATATCAGAAAGATCAGCAATATTCCTGATGTAAATAGTAAGTGGTCCCAACTCTGGGAAGGAAAACATATAATGTGGTGACTTAAAACTATATCCACAAATCTTTGGATATTTTCTACCCTCTGTTATGGTTTAGATCTAAAATGTCCCCCAGAAGTTTCATGTATTCAGAAGCGAGGCTTGTGGATTTCCCTGGTGAGTTCCTGGCTGAATGTGCTATTAGGTGGGGCCTGCTTGGAGATGGGTCCCTGCCAGTGTGACCTGGAAGGGTGTATTTTTGTCCCTGGATCTTCCCTTTTCTCTGCTTCCTGGTTGCCATGGGGTGAGCAGCTTCCACCAAGGTGTTTCTGCCTTGGAGCCAGCTGACCATGGACTGAATCTTCTGAAACCATGAGCCAAATTAAACCTCCTTTAGGATGTGAGTGTTAGGTATTTGGTCCTAAAGATGGAAGAGTGACTAATGCACCTTCTGTAGATGACATGGAGCCCTTAGATGGGGCCTGTACTCAGTGAATATGGCCAACATTATGGTGTGTGACTTGAGACAAGGTCATACAGATAGTGTCTCTGGGTCCTTCTTGCTTTCTCCCTCTGGAATCCATGGCTCTGTAGGAAGCTGCTCAAGCAGACATAAAGAGAGCCTCACACAGTGAGAAACTGAGCCCTCAGCCATGTCTGTGGACCATGGTCAAGGATGCAAGGCAGCCCTGGCTGATGTCTGACTACGCACTCCAAGTTTTAGCCTTAAACCAGCTCTGGTTCCACTTCCCTTTACCCTGCATTGAAATGGAACCCATTGGCCTCACCTCTTCCCAGGAAAGAGTGAAGCCAAAGCAAGGCTGCTCATCCAGACAAGGGAGCAAGGGTTCTAGGGAGCTTCCCAGGGACGCTTGGAAGCTGTGATTCTTGCACCACACACAGGTTGGAAGTGTCATTGCTGTGGTGATCAATCAAAGTCACAATGATTCCAACTGGAGCCCAACATGCCTGGGGTGGTGGGCACTGAGATGCCAGACACCCACCCACCTCCCTGCACTCCTCCTTCCACGTCCTTATAAGGTTCTGGGTGTTGGAGACAGTGTGGGGCAGGAAGTTAAGGAGGTCCTGTACTTACTTCATGATGACAATGTAGATGAGATACATCAGCACGAGGACTAAAGACTCCCACCTGCAAAAACCAGGAACAGTTAACAAAGGTGACTGGGGGTGGTGGTCGTATGAGCCACCTGGCCACTGTGAAGACACACAGGTTGAGCAGCTGGGACAGCAGGGTGGCCAGGTACCAAGAGACGACATGCTGAGCACCAATATCTCCCTGTCTCGGATGTTTCTGTGCCATAGACAGCTCTCAAGGCATCTGTCTCTCTCCTTCCCATAGAACTAGGAAGCGCTCCTTCCTCTCCAGCATTTGCTCACCTAAAGAGCCTTTGGTAAGCTGCACACAGGCCTGTGGGTAGAAATCCATGCATGGCCTAATCCTTCACCTAGATTATGCAGGTGTAAAAGGGGAACAGAGACTGGGGGAGACGATATAGAAGAGGGACGGGAGCAAGAGATATGAGGGAGGGAGAGAGATATACAGACTGAGAGAATCAGAGACAAACAGACAGAGACAGAGGAGTTGGGGGAGGCAGCAGCAGGATGGCAGGAGTGAGAGAGAAATAGTTAAGAGAAAGGAAGAAAAACAATGAAATCCATTGGTGCGTGCCTTCAGCTTCTTATACCCTGAACACTTCTTTCACTTCATAGAAACTTCCAGCGAAAACCCTGGGAACAGTTCTAGGCTTCCTTGCAGCTGCAGAACTGAATTAGCCACTTGAGGGCTTATCTGTGGCTTGGAGAGAGGGTGCCCAGAGTGCGCTCCCAGGAAGAACTGCTGGGGCATCTCTGCTTCCCTGGCTGGCTTCAGAGTCTGGGTCTAGAGGAATGCTGAGTTTGACACATCGAGGACACATACAGACAGGGGTTTGGTTGCTGTGGTATTTATAAAAGAGAAGAGCTGGAGAAGAGCCAGATGGTTACTCTTGGCAGGGTCGGGCGTGGAATTTTAAGTATGTCCCTGCAGTGGGCCACCCTGACCCTGAAGACACGGCTGTAGTGATCAGGGCCAGGGCTCAGGGCTTGGGAGAAGCAAGTGTGGCATCCAGACCCCTCAGGTTGTGCCACAGTCCTTGGCTTCTCTCACAGCAGAGCTTCTCCCAGGGTGGCATGTACCCCATTTCACTTAGCGAATGTCTCTAGCCTAACAACATCGAGCCCCTAAAAGAAATGTGTATGTAGCTTAAACTTTATGTGGGAAGTGAGGTTTTGTTCAGGACATTCGTTCTGAAGAATGATGCTCTTTAATCAACTCAGTGAGCGTTCACTGGAGACGGAATCAATGGCGATGAAGTATTACCATCCTGTTGAATTTCGCCCAGCACTTTCTAAGCAGGTGTATCTATACTCTATCTCCATGCTTTTGGGACTTTTGCTCAAAGCAAGCACGGCTGGTGCAATGCTCTCCTTGGCCATTCTTGGGGGGTGCCTGGGGATGGGGTTCCCCTCCCTTTGGGCATGCAGACTCAGTTTCCCCATAGCCTCCTCATATTGACTGTACCCAGCTCTTTGTGCCACGCTACCTGGGTTTCCTGTGGCCTGGTTGAATGTTCGGTCACCAGTGCTCTTTGGGGTGCCTTCCCTGGCCCCCTCCCCAGGAACAGCTCAGACCCCATGGTCCCCTGTCAGCCCCCTGCCTCTCACACCTACAGGGCCCCCAGCTCAGGGCCTGGTTCAACTCTGTCACCTGCCTGGCTCTGGGGAGACTGGGCCCCAGGCTTTCTGTTTTAAGTATCTTTGGGGATCAGCGCCTCACAGAAATGCCTTTGCTTCTTGCCTGTGAATAGAATCCCACTGTACAGTGCAGCAGACAGGAACCTCCTGACCTCAGGAAGAGTGAGTCTCAGAGGATGAACAATGATTGCCCTATAGTAGTGGCTCAAACTTTCCTGGTCATCTATTGCTCAAGGCAAACCTGAAAGATGGAAAGCGGAGGGGTGCCTCTTCCCTGTCCTTACTGTCTTCAACACAATCTTAATGGCTGGAACCACAGCAGCTATGTTAAGAACATTAGGGCAGAGACCAAGAGAAATGCAGAACTGTTGTGTTATGTACATCTAGGACACTTGATGTGTGAGAAAAATAAACCACTATTCCTTTAATCCACTGTAGCTGGGTTCTCTGGGACCTGGCATTAAAAGCATACCTGCCTGACTGCTGGCTACTGCATCTGGGTTGAACATGCTCTCTTGAAGAATGCTTTAGAAATGGTAAAAAAGACTAAACTACCTATGACAGGGATACCTTGTCTTGGTGTTCACCCTGTCTTCTTTGTGGGTCTACATGCAAGGAGTCGAGGAATCAACCAACTGTGGATTGAAAACGTTTGAAAAAAATTGCATTTGTACTGAATAGGTACAGAAATTTTCTTGTCACTATCCCCTAAAGACTGGAGCATTCCAACTATTTTCATAGGATTTATATTGTATTAGGTGTTACAAGTCTTCTAGAGATTATTTATAGCTTATGGGAGAATTGTGCCTAGGTTATATGAAAAATAGGACATTTTATATAAAAGACTTGAGCACTCACAGATTTTGATATCTGCAGGAGGTCCCAGAACCAGCCCCCACCCAGGTACCAAGGGACAGAGTGTTTGTATTTGGCAAAGCGCATTTTCTCCTGAAGAGCACGCTTGTTTCAAAATAAACACAGCTGAAATGAAGTTTTCCTTTGAAGATTTGGAGTGAATTGATTACCTGCCCTGAAATTTCTAGGACACACTGGAATAGTCTCTAACAAGCACTAGAATTTGCTGTTTGAAGTATTATCGAAATGTTCCTGTGCTTTAATTGCACAGATTGAAAGCTCTGATTTTAAAGACAGAAATCAGCCCCTATGCACACCTTTCCAATAAAATCACTGCTTGGGGCTAGCTAAGTAAGGAGGCAGGAGAAGTGAGTGGTGAACGGTATCTTCAAGTTCCATTTATTTTCATTTCTTCAATGAGGAGCTGAAATCCCTGGGTGTCCCAATGCGGTCAAGGGCCAGTGGTGCAGTTTTAATTTCTCAGCCTCACTCATGTGAAAAATGCTCCTCACCAGCCCATGTAAGTAATAACAATAATTATGCAACAGGCCAGGCCAGTGCTTCAGGAATGATGTTATTCTGGGGCTGTAACCTCCCCTCTTCCCTAGAATTGAGCTGTAGCTTTGAATGACTAATGATTCCAACACCCTGTAGGATAGACCAAAGCACACCCTATTCAACTTATTTATTATGGCCCTCAGGGTCTGCATACATAACTACAGGTGTGGGAGCTTTGTGCTCGGGCCAGGGGCAAAGGTGACCTATCTCCTTGCAGAATCCAGACCCCTCTGCTGTGGGCCTGGGATCCTACCCCAGCATGGGCTCACCCAGCTAGCATCACAGCAAAATCCTGTGAAATGAATAGGAAATAGATGCCCTGTTTCTTGCACCATACCATTTGAAACACTCTAAAGGATATTTTTATGGTGATGATTGACATGGGCTTCCCATGAGGCCTGCTGTCATCTCTTCCCACCATGCCTTTCATGTGGGATGCCACTGAGAAGGTGGAAGAAAATCTCCCCCATGTCTGGCAGCTCCTCTTGCCCCGGGACAGCCTTTCTCAGTGTTTTTCTGCAGAACAGTTCTGTGCCCCACTGTGCCGTGGCTTGCGCTGTCCTCAGGGCAGCACAGCAAGCAGGTTTGGGGATGCCAAGGCCACCTCACAACACTGACTGATTGCTAAGGCAGAGCAGCAGTTTTGCCATTGTGTCACCATTTTGTACAGAGTTGCTGCTGCAGCAATCTAGCCCCAAAGCTGGAAGAGGCCTGGACTGCACTGGGTGACCTCATCCTGCTGACATCAGGAAGCTCCTGTTCACCTCCGGCCCAGGACACTTCTGGGCACCTTGGTCCCTCTTGGGGATCGCTATTACTCCAAAAAGACCTCTGCATTTCTTATGAGTCACTGTGGACATTGAGTGTCTTTTTTTGTGGCAGGGTCTCACTGTGTAGTTCAGGCTGGCCTTGAGTTCACTATGTAGCCCAGGCTGGCCTCAAACTCATGGCGATCCTCCTGCCTCAGCCTCCCAAGTGCTGGGATTACAGGTATGCATCACCATGCCCAGCAAGAGATCAGGTATCTTAAAGGACACTCTCCTCTTGGATGGAAGAGGGGTAGATAAAAACCATGTCTTATAGCTAGCACATGACATTTGTCACCTGCCATCCTCAGATTCTGGAAAATTCTCCTTTCCAAAAGTGACCTGAGGTCATCTGCCACCTCAGAGGTGTCCTTCAGCGTAAAGATGCCCACTCCCACAAAGGGTAGAACAAAGGCTTAGCCTGAAAATGCAGGCAGATGAACTCCGCTTGCTATAGCTCATTCCTAGCTTTCAGTAATACCATGCAAGTTTAGAGTCACTCCTGCCCCTAAGAAGGTATTTCACACCATTCCACTTCTGCAGATCAAATACTCAAAAGAAGTAACAAGAATGCACAGCACACTCAATTTCTATTTCCACTTCAAACACATTTGACTTGTTCAGAACTCAAGAGAGGGAATCTGGACAGTTGGTCAAAATGCAAATAGCCTCCTATATGTTTAATTTGGGAATTTTCTTCTATAAAAATCACTGGTTTTCAAAGCTGTGTGATTTTTTTCTTTGTGCAATGTCAGGCAGACATTGCACATGAGTTAAAGGTCACTGACATGCCCAGATCTTAAATTCCAGTTTTCCAAGATGTCAGGACACTTCCTTTTCTTTTCTAAATCCTAACTCTGGCCTTTAATGCATTTGGCTCTGTGACCTTACAAGGGACTGTTAGAAGAGAGAAAGAGATACTTACCAAGAGACTTTTTCATCATATATGAACTGTAAAAAAAAATGGAGGATTAGATATCTCACACACACATACACACACATGTGCGCGCACACACACACACACTGCTTTGATTGTGCGCTGCCCACCACTGGCCCTGGCACAGTGGGCATCAGGGCTGGGCTGGGAGCACCTGTGGGCCCACTCCCTCAGTGACCATTGACTGTGAGGTTCCAGCCAGACTGGAGGAAGAACTGCCTGGCAGATTAGTGGCACCGTTGTGGGTAACGTGGATGATTGACACGGAGGCCAGCAGGCTGAGTGGGGAGACCCCCACATTTATGGTGGCACCACTAACAGCCTGGATGGAATAAAAAAGGAAAGAAGAAGCAAATGTCCTGTTCTGAAGAGCTCCAGTCTTCTTGAGCTGGTTGGTGTGTCCTTTGTCACTGTCACCTTTGGAGATGAGTCTCTAGGTCTCCAAAGCTCACCCTCCAGGGCACTTCTGGGGTTCAGGCCTCCGACTGCTGCTGCACCCTGGGTCCCTCTTGTTCCATGGCTTTCAGCGTCTTGGGCTGAGCAGCTACTGGATTATCTAGCTCTCCAGAGCACATTCTCCCACTCTGACCCTAACACATTTTCTTGTGTAATTATTCAACTCTTTCCCATTGGTTCTATTCCTCTAGAGAATCCTAATGAATACACGCTCGTACTGGGTTAGTCTTCAGCCGGTGTTGGTTGGGAGAAGATGGTGTTGGCAGAGTGGGGTGGGGACCAGGGCGGAGTGGGGAAGTGACCCTTCTCTAGGAAGGGCGACTTGCCTGCTTTGTAAAGTATGACAGCACTGAGGTCTGGCAGAGGAGGGAGGAGGCCGGTGGCCATGTCCAAAGGCTGATTCCTTATGTGCCACCCATGAGGCTGCTACACATCAGTGCAATGATCAGCACTGTCAGTTTTTACATAAGCACTTGAAAATGAGTGTTTCCTAATACTTTCCTTTCAATTGACTTCTTTTTCCTTCTTGAAGATAATTTACATCCAGCCAGGAGGAGGATCAGCACCCCTTGCCATCACATATAGAGGGTGACCCTGAAAATTAAATTCAGAATCAACAATGCCTGTGGATCCTGGCTGAACACTGTTGGCTGCCCATGCCCTGGGCCACTGGCCTGCTCTTGGGTTAGGGCTATGGGTAGGGTGAGGGTGAGGATTAGGGTTTAGGGAGAGTCAGAAGCAGTGAGAGACATAAATGCCAAACAGTTAGGACCCATGGAAAATACATTAGATTCAATTGATTTAAGCTCTACTCCTTTTATCTTGGAAGAGCATTTCCCAACTTCAATCCTTTGGTTTATATAAGAGGCCAAGTTATAGGAGACAAGTTTGTTGTAGAACCGGTTCTAGAACTCAGCTCCAGCTCTTAACTTTGCGCTGTTTTTGTGACACCCTTATCCACCCAAATGACCTGTGGAGACCAAATGGTTTTCTTCAACTGGAAGCCCAAGATGTGGCTCAGTGCTCTTGCTACACGAATGAAATGTGCGTGCCCTCTCTCAGTGTGGCCATCTCTAAGTGGTTGTCCCTTCCCAGGCAGGGACCAGGAGTCTGGCCTAGGACCATCCTGGGACAGTTAGTATAATGAGTCACTATGATGTGGAGATGTGTTGCTGACAGCGTGGACATTGCTTCAGTCCCTGGGATCACCGTCACCACCAGCTGCAGATCACCACACAACTGCAGACAGCAGCTCAAAGGCAGCTCACAGCCACGGGTGAGGGACTCCCCAATTATCAGAGAGGTCCAAAGAGGAGGAGGAGAAAGGAGCAGCCAGGATTATTTATACCTCACTCCCCCTAACAAGCCATTGAAAACAGACATTGGCCTCATCATTTCCACACCTCCCCTCCCTGTCATTAGATTCAACAAGTTGACATTTGGATGAAAATGTCAAACGGGAGTGGGAAGATAATTAAAGAAATCAATACTCTAGGCCGAAAGGTGTGGAGTCCATTTCTCCAAAGGCATTCACTACTGTTCTCTTCTATCACCAGCTTTAAAAATAATTGTTGTCAAGAAATAATAGAACAGGCCAAATTATTTAAAATGGAAAATGTTTTCTGTAAATCAGTTAATTCAATATTAGTCTTAGCGATGAACTGGAACAATCAATTCATAGCCACTTAAGAGAATACAAGATACAGGGAGAGAGTTGATTAGACAGGCCAATTTAATTTTCCTCTGCCTGGGAAGACAGGCAATGCCATAGGATATGAATGCAGCTTTCAGGATGCCTTTGCTCTGTGCGATTGTTCCCACAGACAGGGGCAAGAAGCTACAAAGGAGTCTTAGGGAGGTCACTCACTCTGGGAGGAAGGCACCTTTTCTGTACTTTTGGGGACTAGCCCTGATTTTACTTATGGATTATTGTAATGATCAGATTAAAATAAAAATGAGAATGGGTTTTGTTGCACAAGGGACTCAACACTGAGAATAAGATTTACAGGGAGCCCAATAAATCAGAGAGAGCGAGAGAGGGCAAAATTGGATGGGACTGGACAAGACACCCCGTGAGGGGTAGGGCAGCATGCACTGAGGTCCAGAGGATGGGGGTGGCAGTGCTGGGTGTGCGCTGAGGTTCGGGGAGGCCAGCAGGGAGAGGGAAGGGCGGGTGGCACTGCCCATCCTCACGATGGACAGGAACCCGGAAATGTCCTGATGACAGGCGCAGTCTCCCTCGTGGTCTCCACGTGTGGTGTGAGGTCACCCCAGCAGTCAGGGGACACAGCCCCGGGGGAGGGCACTGGGTGGGAACTCAGCTGCCAGTGGCCAAGTCTACTCACATGGTGTGAGTGGGGGTTCATCTCTCTACTTTGAGAGCTCCGTGCAGAGAAACAAGGGGACTCAGAAAACAAATTGGGTGAAAAGGACGCAAAATCCAGCCTGTGAGCAAATCGACGTGGAGATAAGCTCGGGTCTTGTGAGAAAGGGTGAGCAGTGTGTCTGCAGCTGCCCCTGAGCACGTGTTGTGCGGTGCTATTTGGAGGAGGTGGGGTGGCTGAGACCAAGAAGGAGAGGAACCGGGAAGGAGTGCATCTCAGCGGCGCGGGTGAGGCTCTGGATTCAATCACAAAAAATAGGATGAAAAAATAAAAATAACTAAAGAACTTTAACTGAGGATGCAGGTGCAGATTGCAGAGGGTTCCTTCACAGGGACCCTGCTAGACCACATGATGAGGGATTACGGTCACTCTGACAAGGACAGGACCCGCTTTTGATTGAGGTTGGCGCTGGCTGGGGGTGATGGGTTTGTCATTCCTCACGTATTTTATGTAATTGTCCGGGTGGGTAAGTATTGCGTACCCCTCAGCTTTTGTACTCTAGCTGTAACAGGAAACAAAACAACGCCAGGCACTGTCACAGGATTCCTAGTTTAGAGGAAAACCTGAAACCATGAGCACGCTTGTCTAAATGAAGTCTGCACCTCAGTTCCTCCCAGACTCCACTAGGTGGAGCTCACGTCAGGGCCCACCATCCCCGAGTGAAGTTGGAATGAAGTCAGGTCCCAGTCTATTTCCAGTTTCCAAAGCTCTGGTAAATCTCCTGGAAGGAGGGCGAACACCTCAAGGCTGACCGAAAAGCTTTCAGCCAACCTCCTGCTGCCCAGGGCAAGGGGGCTTTCTAGGACCATTTCCGGCTTGGTGTTCCTTTGTGGGGACAAGCCACCATCCATGCCAGTTGTAGCTGAGCAACCTGCAATGTGGCCTTTGTCACTGACCCAGCCCTTCCCAGGGTGACATCAAAGAGCAGGCCTTTGGAAGCTCTCTTCTCTCTGTGCTCTGGGGGCTGAATAAGGGCCAGGCCCAGGCCCAGGCCCAGGGACAGCTGGGACACCATGTGGGATGTGCTGACTGGAGCTGGCCCTTGGTTTACAGAGGCTGGCCGGGCAGTCATGCCATTCTCAGCTTCACCCTAAGGTCTCCCTGTGTCCTGCAGTTGGGCTAACCATGAACAGACAGGAACGAAGCTGAAAAAAGCACTCATTTCCTCCAGGCTTCAAAGAATTGGCTGGGTACCATGGAAACCAGCTTGTCAATCCTGCTGCCTGCTCTAGAATCTTCCTAGCAGACAGGCTGACAGCAGACAGGTGGGGCCCTGGATGTCAGGGTCCCCAGGAACCAGCAGGGCAGGGTGTGCTCCAGATGGACGTGAGAGGACACAGTGAGTGGCTGGGGCAGTGGACAGGCTGCTTCATTGTCCAATACAGTCCTGGGCTTGCTTTCTGTCAGGCAGAACCACAAACCAGGGATGTCTGCATTGCTAAAGCTAAGTTTTCAGGGCCTGTATTCAAATCACTGGTTCGGAAAGAATTTTAAGTAGTGAAAATAACAGGAGAAAATCAACACCATTATTTTCTTTCAAGAGTGTGAAACTTTGAACATCTTCCTTTCCTTCCTGTAAAATGGAAATAGCATCCCATAGGTCCTGCTCTGGGGAGTCCTCACTTTTTTTTTTTCCAGTACCAGGAATCGAACTCATGACCTTGTGCTTGCCAGGCAGGCACTGTGCCGCTGAGCTAAATGAGTCCTCACTTCTTCACCTCAGAGAACAGGAGGTCCAGATGGCCTGGCTGGGCCAGCTCATTTCTTGGAGGAGAGGAACGGGAAGGATACACAGGCACAGTCTGCTACCTGCACCGCGACGGCTTCTCTGTGAAGATGAGATGGGAATCCCTACTTGAGGGCATCTAGCAGACCCATGGGAGGTGGCAGTGGTTGCAGGGAGGCAGGGAATAAAGTCAACCAACAGGCAGAGTTTGACAAGTGCTAACTTGTAGTGCTGGAAGTCGAGGAAAAGAAGATGGCTTTAGGATACAGAAGGTGAGGGTTGTACTGGGCAGTGCAAAAGCACATGCACAAATGAGATCCCCAGCCATTTTCTGGGTTAAAGCCGATTGGTCCCTTCTTGTGATGTGCAATCTTTGGACAGCAGCCCCAGGTCCCTGTTCAAGGCACACAAGCAAGAACGGTCCAGCCCCCCGGTGTTCCTCACCTCC